TTAATATTTTTTAATTTATATTTTTAATTAAATTTTTATTTTTAAATTTTAAAATAAAGTTTAAGCAAGTGAAAGAATATCACGAAAGGGTGAGATTTTAATATTTTTAATTAAATTTTTATTTTTAAATATAAGAATCAAATTTTTAAATTTTAAAATAAAGTTTAAGCAAGTGAAAGAATATCACGAAAGGGTGAGATTTTAATATTTTTTAATTAAAACGGATGTACACTGTCCTTAATATATTAAATATATTTTATATATTTCACATATATATTAAAAAAAGAAAAACCTATATATGCCAAATGTCAACTTTTGAGCTGCGAATTCTCATAGAGCAACACATGTCACAATCCCACACAAGTGCCACATCTTGAAACAATGAAGTTGACCACACGAGAAACAAGCTCCTCCACACTAACCGGAGCGGTAGTGTCCACCACCATCCTCGGCACGTCGCCGACATCGTAATCCGTGCACCCGCCATACCCTTGAACCAACATCTCAAGCTCCTGCCACGTGGCTGGCTTGTGCCAGCTGGCTCCCTCACTTTTCCCTCTCCGTTCAAGCCTCTCCCGCCACTTGGCCTCATCCGATGGCTTACATTCGACGATGACGAGATGGGCACCGGCGGAAGAAGCGATTTGGAGCAAGCGATGGAGGTGGGTGGGGCGGGAGAGTGGAGAGTCGATGACGACGCTGAGGCCAAGGCGGAGCTGGGTGGAGGCGATTTGGTAGATGACGTGGTAGGAGAGGTCGTTGAGGAGGGAATAAGAAGCGGTGGGGAGGGATTGGTGGAGAGGGAGAGTGCAGTCGCGGATGTCGTCTTTGTCGATGAGAGGGATTTTGAGGGCGGAAGCTAAGGAATTGGCTAACGTAGACTTGCCGGTGCCGGGATGCCCTTTCATTGCAATCATCACCGGCTTCGGAGTTGCTTCTTCTTTCGCCATTTCTGAAAATTGAAGATAAGGAATCACGCTTCACCACCCTGTCCATTCATAATAGAAAATGGGAGTCGTTATTGCCACGCATCCCATTTTTGACTCCTTTGTGATTGTAAAATTCAAAATTAATAAGAAATTATTTTTATAAGGGCGAAAGCCAATCGTCGTCCCTCTACTTTGTAAAAAAGTTCAAATTAACCCTTCTACTATGGAATCACCTCAGGTCGTCCCTCTACTTCATTTTGAGCTCGTGTGTCCTGCCTCTAGTATTCAAAAAATGACCAATTTTGTCCCTCCATCCATTCCATGGCTAACATCGTTACTTTTAACCGTTAAAACCCAACGATCTTGTAGTCAATGTATATTTCTATATTATTCTTTTCTCCAATTTGATTGCAATAAGACACACCAATGCCACATCATACTCTATATTAATATCTTTCTCCTCAATTTATTTTTTTTATCCTCAAAACACATATTTCTTGTATTTTTATATATTAAATAATTTATCTTTTAATGTATATTATTTTAAAAATAATTTTTTAAATTGTGTTTTTATGACATATTTTTGTTTAAATATATATACAAATATAAATATTTATATATATTATTTTAGTATTAATATCAAGTAGATGAATTTAATTAAACAATTCATTGATTAAAGGTCAACCTTTATTTTTCAATATAATTTAATGATGAAAATGTATATTAATTATCTTTTAAGACACAAGTTAAAATAATTCTTTTAAAAAATAAAAAAATTTATAATAAGATAAATAATTAAAATCAAAAAATAATAATAAGATTAAACTATAAAAAATACTTTTCTTTCTTAAACTATAAAAAATGATTATCATTTTAAAACAAAATAAAAAAATATTTGTCTCTTAAAATAAGTAAATAAAAGTCGACACATATAAAATAAAGCACTACATCCTTGAATAGTACTTATTAGTGCCTTTTGTGTTTGTATTTCAATTTAATTATGTATTTTAATATAAGTATAAAGTCATATATTTCTTTATGTATATGTATTATTTTTTTATATTTATAGTCAAAGTATTTCTAAATTAACTTTTTTGTATCTCAAAACTAATTTTTATTTAAACTATCTTAAAAACATACCTCTCACATCAATTTAGTGCATTCAAAGAAACTTATGTTTATATATTATGTTTGAATTAAAGTATATGTTTTGTAATAAGTTTAATTATATTTTAATTTGTATTAAAAAGTTATAACATTCAACAAATATATAAATATATATGCGGGTATACCTTATAAGTAATAAGAATAGATTTTTAATACCTAAGTAAATATTAAGTATCAAAATTCTATACCTATTAATTTTTAAATTAAATACAAATAGAAACAAATACTTCACTTTTATACTTAGTTAACCCACTTATATACATAAATAGAATTGCAAATTGTGAACTCCCCTTAGATCACTCAAAACTTCCAATTAAAGGGATAGTAATAAGTATTAAGAAATTTTCTTTTTCTACTTATAAATTTTTTTAACCTTAATAAAATTCAAAAAATTTGTATCGATCTTTTTTTTTAAAAAAAAATTAAATTTACTGAGTTACTAACTATAGTTTTGAAAAATATCTAATTGACTCAACTAAAAAGTTGATAAAAAGGAAATAAATAAATGTGGCTAATAATTGAAAAAATTGGTA